TAGCTGAAATCTTTGAGAAAGTTTCTGTTTTCACATAAAAATTATTCCTGTCAAGATGAAAAATTTTATTAGGTCTTTAGGTACTGAATAAATCACATAAATATGATATAAATAATGGCACATATATATCTGTTTTCAGCAGAGATATGCTACTGTTGTAAAGGAGGAGACATTTGTCTTTATCCTTATTCAGGGAACGACTCCCATAATTGTACTTATTTAAATGCCTCCCAAATCTGGTATATATTTCCCATTCTAGTTCAAATAAGAATGGCTTTTTGTTTTAGCACCATGACAAAACCAACCAACCCAGTTTCCTTTAACCTCTCAACACCACACCAGAAGAGCCTTAGCAATGTCTGACCATCATGTTGTCTTTTATACAGACAATTTGAGAGTAATCTTTTCTTATCTAGGGTGATGGTATAATAGCATAGAGCACTATGGTGATTTAAAAAAATGTCTCAATACACAACTTTGCTCTTCGTTGTGTGTTTTATTACACCACAGTTTTTTTGTTTTATTATTCCATAATTTATTAAATAGGTAATTGCTGTAATTGTCTGATCCCTAGACATATAATTGTATAAAAATATATTTTCTTGTTTCTTTCATACTAGCAGCTGGATGCCCAGGAATTTTTGGTGCAGCTAAAATTATGACTTGTACCTTTTTTATGCCAAATGTTATAGAGAATTTAAAGTATTTCCTGGCAGACTGGTTGCTATTTGCATAACAAGAAATGTCTATTAAAAGACTCTTGGGGTAATACTGATAATCAGAAGACATTTAAAAAATATATTCCCTGTAGCATTTTATTTTGCTTTGCAGTGTTTACCTCTAAATACAGATGCTTATTCAGGAAAGAGAAAAGCTAAATGATTTCTTTTGTGCCAGCGTTGTCAAAAAGCAATTCCCAGTTTGACTGAGACTGTGGGACCTGGGAGCACTAAAGAGGCAAAAATTCTTTTCTACTCTAATACAAAGGTCAGTACAGTTAATCTACTATTACATTTGGGGCAGATATTTTAATGATTTCCAGAAATACAACAACTGAATGGAAACAATGTGAATACAGAGATCTTATTTCTCATTTCCTTTCAATTAGATCATTGCTGTTTGTGGCAAACTGAAAGAGACTTGAGATAAATCTTTTGTGAAAAAGCAGTATTTCTAAATGAAGGATAATGGTTTCGAGGATTTGCTATATAAACTTGTGTTTATAAAATGAAACTTCCCCTTTATTTTAATGTCTGCATTTGGTTTTGCTTTGAAGAAAAGTAAGAAGTTTGGTAAATGCTAGGGGTGAGAGCGTGCCTGCAGTTTGTCTTATGGTTGATGTTCCATGTATAAAGAATATGAAATCCTTGGGACAGAATTGGATCAATCAAAATTGTAAAAGTAGTTTGTATTTGGCCCTCATGAAAATCCTCTTTTTCACAAGGTGTCACATTCAGCTACTCCATGAAGAACCCAATGTGAAATAATCTTATTGACATCCATATTGAATCTTTCTCTGGTGCAGATGAGTATAGCTCCATGTTCTGTGCTAATAAATATTTATCAGTTCAGTTGAGGATATTACTTTATTGAGGAAAAATTGATGAAATAATTTATAGATTTTGTGTATAACACTGAAGGTCATACTGTTTATTTAAATAAGTTCTTTATGAACTACACCATTTCATGGCTTTTAACAGTTTGTGGACTGGCCAGTTGAATAAGTAAAAGGCACAGTAATTCCTTTTTACAGTTACATTACAGTTTTAATGAGAAGCATTGATTTTTCTCTTAATACTAATGTGTATAATGACCTTTCTAATGACATCTGTCACTACTGTTTCTTCTCAAATTCTAGTGGCATTTTCTTTTAGTGAATCAAAGGATTTTAATTGCTTGTTGTGTTGTTAGAATGAGAATTAGTATCCTTTTAAAGTAGTATGAAGGCTTGTGGAAGTCATATTCTGTTAAAAAAAATAATTAGAAGCTGTCTGATTTTTGATCTTCAGAAAAATTTTAGAAACTTTCCATGCCTTTGTCTTCAGAAAATAGTTACTTCAGTGCTACATGTGAAACTGGTTTTTCATTGTCAGGTTTTGCTTCTTGATATTAAGTAGATTCTGGAATTTGACATGGAAGAGTATGCTAAGGTAGTTTCTGACAATGTCTCTCTCAAGAATTTTGTTTTCCTTCAGCTTTTAATGGTACTATCTGAAGAAAGGACATATGAATTAACTAAAACAGTAATGTACCATGAAACACTAAAACTATCTATATATAGTTCAAAAAAGGTATAATTTCTCTGTGGTGACTTGTTTCAACTGAAGATAGAGCTGTCTTGAAAAAGTCTATTGTTTTCTACTGCTTATCTTATTCTATTGTTTTAATACTCTAAAACTTGGCTATTAAATACCAGTCTAACTTTAATTAAGAGTGATTGTCAGCAAGCAGCAAAGCTTTTGGGCTAGCTTGTAATTGTTAATACAATAAAGGTTATGGGTGAGAGTCAAAGAAAGTGGCTCCAACACTCCTAAATGGTTTGCTCTCTCTTGCAAATACTTAGTTTTGTTTTTTAGTGACAAGGAACAAGTGATTACAAGTGACAAGCAGGATCTGAACATTTCCATAAGCTGCTCAATCTTGATCATTTACAAAAGATTATACATTATATTTTTGATCTGCATTACAGGTAGCAATGTTGCTTAGTTGATCTGTTCTAATTCAGGTGCAAAAATGAAGTACTCACCCACTTCAGGGTACTCCAAGCAGGCATGTTCTGATGTCATGCTCAGAGCTGCCACCCTAAAAGACGGGACTTCAGGGTTACCATAACAACATCAGCCAGTCGTTGGCTGACACTACAACATTTGAGGGAGTATTAACCAAAATACAGTCACCATATATTTTGCCTGCTTTGCTGGTTAAGAATGTTTATGCTGTGTAGAGAAGGTTTATCTACAGCATATGTTCTCTGTACGTGTATGATTGAAATGGCCACATTCTTCTGAAGCTCTTTGGCATAGCTATATAATATTTTGAAGTAGCACATTAGAATATATGTAGCAAAACCCAAGATGCATTTCTGTAAAGTTACTCATATTTACTTATTTTCTACATTAAAAATGAATGAGGATAAACATCCAGAAGAGCTGAGAAGCTACTGAGGCATGTAGAAAAAGTTTCCTCTGAGTAGTCCTTTATAGACAGCATGAAGAGATCAGAATCAGGTTTTGTCTACTTATTTTATAGCACATTTTGTAAAAATCCAAACCAGGAGCTGGAAATGCTTGTTGTGCACATGCAGTGTGAATGAAAACAGGATATTTAATTAATTAGAGCAGAGATTGTGTTTCATATAATAAAATAAGTCAGCTTGCTTTAAACAGATTTCACAGACCACCTAAAATAGAGGAAGCAAGCTTGCCAATAGCAGGAGCTAATGCTTCAGTACCTTTCATTTTGTACTCTGAAAAGAAAACCTCTTCTTAAGCTCATTCATTTTCCGGAGGGAATGTCGAATGCTGTGGCATATTGTCAGAGCTGCTTTATTGTCACCATTTACAAAGGTCACCTGAATTAATTGACTTCTTACCATTCGTATTGTTAAGCTACCCATTTCCTGACATTTTTGGAAAGGTGACAGACTTAAAGCCAGTGGCTATCTGTTGATGGTTCTTTCACAGTTTGCTTCTCAGAACACAGTAGCTCTAAAATTACAAGCAAATAATTACATTGGTACAAAGGAACAGAATCTTTATGATGTTCTCCAGAGTTCACAGGAGTGAGGGGGCTGAAGGGAGAAAAAAGGGGTTTGAGGAATAATCAAAATACTGAGATGTTTTTAATGCAGATGTAGTACTCTAAAAAGCAAACAAAAGCATACGGAAAGATGTGGATTGTATTTTTTTCACTTTGAAGCATGCATTAGAGGGGTAACCTGTCCTTCTCATGGTGTAAAGTAAAATCTATCTCTGTCTTTCACTGATGCATGAATCACAGATCCATGCTGATGCACTTTACCAAATATGTTTTCATCTAAATGATACCGAGGTGCTCTGATACTGCATGGAAGAAATGGCATACACATGCATAAGCACAAGCACATTAGACAGCTGTGGAGCTAGCCTGGAATTTTAAGTTGATTAAATTGGTTAAATAGAAAATCACTGATATTCTTCTAGCCCCCTGCATTTGCTGCCTTCTCCTTTCCCCTGTGTTGGGTTCTCTTTCTCATCAGCAGTGCTGGGCAAAAACTCCAGCTAGACATGTGAAAACAAAGACATGGAAAGCAGAGACAAACAGTTCTGAGATTTGCTATACTAAAACAGGCAAAGCTTTTATAGTGATGGATTTAAACGCTCTCCTTCCATTTAAATAGAGGCACCCTGCTGAGATACTGTTAATTACCAAAGAAGATTAGAACTCCTCTGCTTAATGTGATCCTTTTTACCTAACGCATCAGTTCCAGCTGCATCAGTAATCAGACATTCACAGTGTCCCTTCTGACTGGAAAGGGGATGTTTTTAAGCAAAGTCATTTGCCACAATCCTTAAGATGTAGCCTGGCAGAAATTCAATAACTGTTTGTGATATGCTCATTCAGCCTCATTGCTCAGTGGTTTTTAGGTCTTGACATAAACAGCATTTCCCTTAATCCTAGCACTGGAGAAAAGAAAGGAGGCTGTCCTGTATTTTGTTTTATTGGTTTCAAAACACAGAGCAAGTATTTAATTTGATATTGCCTCTGAAACATCAGTGGAAACATTCTTCTTTTATATTTTTTTATCCTTTGATGTTCTTTCAAGCTAACAGATGCACAAATCTGATACTATTGCAAGCATATTTAGATTATCTCTGGCATAAAGAGCATATTGCATTTGCATTTCTGTTCAGAAAATAGTATGTGAAAATACACTAATAACTTCACAAAAAGAAGAAAGGGGAAAGAGTCTAGAAGTCAGATAAAAGTCAGGGTAAAATTGAAAATAAAGAGGAACTTACCCTATAATAAGAGTAGTTTCAGAGCTGGAGGAGTTCTTGCATCTCAGTAATTTCGAATCCTTAGTTCAGGTAGTGACATACTTGTATTAAAGCCAGAGTCTGTATAGATGAGCACACATGTACGTGTGGGTGTGAGTCGGTGTGCATGCGTGTGTCTAACAGTCTGTAATACAGAGATGTATCTATTGATATCCTACAACACGAGAGACTCTCCGTGCTGCCAGCTGAGATCCCTTGCGTTTGCCAGGCGCTGTTGCTGCCTGGCTGTCTGAGGCTCGCAATCCAGCGGAGAGAGGAAGGCGGGGGAGAGAGCAGCTCGCTAGCTGCTCTTATTTCTCCTCGTTTCCATGGTGGTTAGCGGTGCACGGCTCGGGCGCTCGGCTGTCGCCGTGGCACGGCGCTGCTGTGGGGCGGTCATTGATAGCGGGGCCGCCGGGCTCCCCGCAGCGCAGCGGAGCGGAGCGGAGCGCTGCCGCGGCGCGCCCAGATGCGCGGGGCGCGCGGCTGCGCGGCCGCGGAGGATGTCTGCTACGTGACACCGCTGCTGCTGGGGCCGGCAGCACCAAAGCAGCCCGGGAACGCGCCCACATAGCCCTTCCGACCTGTGGGAGCTGCAGGGCTTGCTTTCTGTCTGTACGGAGCAGACTGGGAGGGCCACATTTCCTACCCCCACTCCCCCTTTTTTTTTTTAATTTTTTTTTTTTTTTCCTTTAAGGGCTGTTATCTGTACTCATAACAACTTATTAGAGATCACTGAACTTCTGCAAAGGCTGGTGTAGTTCAGAGGATACTGTATGGTGAAACCATTCAGGAAGAATGTGTTGTGACTTGCCCCCAGTGGTTTTTTGGTTTTTTTTTTGGTTTTTTTTTTTTAAGCTTAAGACAGGAAAAGATTTTACGTATTCTTCCTCTTCCAAATTTTGTCAAATATTACATTTTACTACCTGTGCTTATCAGTAGAAAGTGAGAGCAGTAATACATCTTCCTGAGAAATAAAATTTAAAAAGGAACTCGGAAAGGGGTTGGTTAAATAAGAAGTCAGTTTCTCTCAATCTCTCTCTGCTTGAGTCTGTCTGTTATGACTATCCAATTACATAAACAATAGGATGCCCAGATTTTTCCTTCCCTTTCTTTCTTTTTCCCTTTATGCCATGCTATTTGGTTAATGATTTATTTTTTTCCTGCTTATTCTGTGTCCATGACCAAAGGCATACAAACTATGAAGGTTTTAAAAACCGTAGAATAATTTGTGATTATCATCACCTCTTCTCCTAGGTATACAGAAAAATAAATTAGATAGATGTTGTTAAGAAAAGGGTTTTTATCATATATACTCTTTAAATAAAAACAATTACTTTATTATAGGATATGATTAATAATGAAGCACAAAGAATTGGTTATCAACAGGTCAAAAAGAAGAAAATGTTGGATCTCTTGTGTGAATTCAGTCCCACAGCCCTGAGCAAGTCAGGCCACCCTCTAGTGGACTGAAGTGAGATGTGGTTCTCATTTCACACTCATCTGCTTTGAAGAAAGACTCACGATCTTGTCTAATAACAGTATGAATATTTTCTGAAGATCAGTAAATGGTGTGAATTAATGTACTTTTTGCTACAGCAATAGCACCAGAATTTTGCAATAGAATGGTTGCTATTTTATGAATACTGAAGCTCATCTCAATTCACTTTGGCTCAGATCTTGGACTGCATTATTTTTGTTTTTATTTGGTAAGAAAATAATTTTATCCTTCATAAAATCACTTATTATGAAAATTGAATTAAATGAATGCTACCATTCTGAATAAATTTCAGGTTGTTATAATTGGTTAGGGCAAATTTTACAAAACTACTCCTGTTAGGCTCACTGGTACTTACATTGTGGCTATATTAAAGCAGTCTTTTCCTTCTGCCTCAAATTTTTGAATGCTGCACTTCAGCTAACTACAGTGAACAAAGAGTTAAATTTTTTCAAAGATGTGTGCTGTTCATTTTTCACTCATCCAACTGAGTGGGACTGTTTCAAAGATGAAATAATAGGATTTATGTGGCTGATTAGCTGCAAATAAGTGAGATACTCTAGGCCAGGGAAAGGCCAAGTGGTCTTTTTATTTTCTCTCATTCTTAGTTATGGATATTCAAAATTTTTCTAATGTGAGTTAAAGAGTTATAATGAAAATTTGGGGCAAACCCATCTTTAGTTACCTTTCAGGTATTCTTGCCTGAGGTTGGGACAGGGAAAACTCAGATCAGAAAGATGTCACATCATTTTTCTGTAGCCTCAGGTCTCACTGGTGAAACCTTGTTTCTCTTTTGCCCCCACGAGGTGGCTCTTGGAGCCTCTGATGTATGTAATGTTCACCACCAAGAGCTGCAAATGCAAACCGTTTTAAACCTTCAAGTCAGCCTGTAAGCTTTCCCTGCTGCACAGCATAATGTCCTGTGTTGGATGGGATGGAATCCTCTCAGGATGCTTTAAGTAAACACAATCCAAAGCTGGAAGAGTAAACCTCTTGCCATTGTAGTTCCCACAAGAGAAATGGAAATCCTTCCTGATCTCAGCCGTCTCCTACCTTACCCCCACAAAAGATATTAACCTGTGCGAGAGGGGTGGGATTGTGGGGGCAGTAAGAGACAAGAATATTTCAAAAAGTTTGGACAAAGTTGGAAATGTTCCTTTAAAGACAGCTAAAAACTGCTGGATCTCGTATCTTATCCGGTGGAGAAACAGATGATCTGGGGAAAGGTAAATAGATGGGGACTAGCATTGCCCTGTGTGAAAACTTGGGTTTGCCCCTAGCCTGCTCATGAACTCACTGCCATTCATTCAAAATCTGGCTTTCTAATTAACATGAGAATCATGCAAAAAACATATTCAGTGGTTTGACATGTGAAATTAAGATTAGAGAAGTGCTTCATTTTGGTTGATTGGTATGGACTGTGTAATTAGAGGGCTAGATAATTAAATCAACTAAAGTATACTTGCATAAAGAAAGTGAGTTCTTATGATAGACTATATATGCAATTAAAGTACTTCCTTGATAGGCATACATTTACATATTAGTTAAAATGTTATTAAATCATACTAAAATTCTGTTTTGTAAAAAAAGTGAAGTAATTGAATTTTATGATTTAGGTAATGCTAAACAATTTTTTTAACTATCTGCAGGAGAAAAGTATCTTTTATAACCAAAACAATTATGATTATTAAAGTTCATTAAGTTATTTTTCTGCTGATTTCACTGTGATGCTTGGTGGTTTTAAAATAGCAATGTAATCAATTTTATGAAAATCATATATATATAGCTTAATAGGTTACAGGATAGAAAAAAATTCTCTCAGACGGATAGAGAGACAATGAAATTAATGCAGACTGACTCCAGCAATTTATTTAGCATACATTTTATCTGATTACTGAGTGCACATTAAATAAACTAAGTAATTATTTGTTTTTAATGGACAATAAACACAATCCATAAACCCCTTAGTTATTTAAATGCAACAATTCTGTGTCCTCATTTTTCTCAAAATTGGAAGATGGTTTCAAAATTTTTTCCCCCTTTTTATTATGTAGAAAGACAGAGCATCTTTGGGCCTCCATATACTTTTTTGTGGTTCAGGATTACCCATGACCATTTCTAGTGTTTTCAGTCTGTAAGAACACAGCTCTGTTTAGAATGCAGCAAGTATAATTAAAAACTGCAATAAATACTATGCAGTTACAGTAAAAATACCACAACTATTTGATTTAAATTCTAAAATGACACACTTTATATCAGAAATTGGAAATTATTTTTTTAAAGTATGTATTCATACAGGTTATGTGCATGTGTAAAACAGACAACACTTTTGGGACAGCTTTATTGCTCTTATGTGCTCTTATCCTGGTTTCTGAGGCACCATGACTACAAGGAGGAGGCTCAGTTGTGGCTTTTCTTGCTTCTTCTCGTAGTCCACTGAGTAAAAAAAGAGGTGAGCTGGTGGGTTTTTTTTGGACAGATTAATTCTCACCAGTTCTGCAAAGCACACCTTTTTATATCTTCCATGTGGGTTGTGGGGAGTTATTTCTTTCTGAGTGAAGGTCACTTTCAAAGAAATCTATGTTGTGGTGTCATCGGTTAATTTATTAATTGACTTACAAATTATACCTGGTTGTCATTATGTGATTTGCCTAGAAGAGAGAAAAAAGAGCCACCACTTCATGTAACCCTGTTCTACTAGCATTTTCAGTCCAATGGTTTCAACCTGACATTGTCATATGCATTTGACAACCTTGCATTGTCATGGCAAGACTATTGATGTTTTCCTAAAAGGGCTATGCTCCCATACAGACTAATTTTTATTAATATGTGTCTTTCCAAAATTGAATACTTCTTTTCAGCGATAAACATTTCTGCCTCTCGTTCTTTGTCTTTTTTGAAGATGAAAGGCTTGTTGCCAACAATGAATTCAAATTTCTAGATTTGCACTTCGTAATGGAAAATGCTGCATCAGATTACTTAACCTGCTATGAAATTTCTTTTATCAGATCTGGGAGTTAGTGTTGATACAATAGAGCAAAAGCAGATGGAAACAAATCTGTAAAGAATTTCACATAAGGAAAAATTCACATATATACAAAGCCCCAGTTACTTCTTTAAATGCTACGTAGGTAGTAGGTGCTATATGACTTGGCAAAATCTGGAACTGCATAGTAAAGAGCCTTATAGTACAGGAAAATTCAATCATGTGTGATGGGGTTGAATGAAAGCAGGGGTGAGGAGCTGATCTTGGTGTTCAAGGAGATATTTCCTATTCCAGAAAACTTGCCTATTCGTGTAGCAACTGTTTTCTGTGAAACAAAAAGTATGAGATCCCAGGCAAAAGCTATAGTCTCTTTCTTCATTATAGGTCCCAGAGCCATAGTCAGCCTTCTGCAGGAGTTGCTTGAGGTCTGAAAAATCTTAACAAGTTTTATCCCTACTGGGTCCAACACAGGGGGATATTTGAGTTCTTCTAGTTTTCATCCTTGACCCTATTCTGATAGGCAAGAATCCTTGGCATACCAGTATCTGCAGAAGGCTGGAAATGAGTCAAACATAGCAACCAAAACCTTGCTGCATCACATGGAATTCTTAATGAAGACAAAGTAGTGAAAAGCAGCTAGGGGATCTTTATATGCAGCTGGATAAGGCAGATGAAGTATCTGAAAAGCAATTGTCAAGCTGGGTGTATATGTTTAAATATTGATTTCACCTCAGTAAGTTTATGTCTTACTTATGGTGACATCTCAGGTTTTGTAGCCTTCGTTAATTGGATATAACTTATTGGGATCTTCTCTATGGTGGATCTTTAAAACTGAGATGCCCTTGTAGATTTCTTAAGGATCTGCTTGTTCGTGATCCTTGTTTGTGAGACCTAGAATGTACATGGAATATAGCAGGTATTGTCATAGCTCTTGGAGCTAATCTGTATCTAAGGCTGAGGAAGATAATATTTGCAGTAATGATTTGAATGTAAGGCCTAGAATTTCCATTCTGGTGCCAATTTGTTGTAATTGGATGGTGGTAGGTCTTGAAATTTCTGTCCTTATAGAGAAGCCATTTTC